AATTTGCAGGGGGTTGCTCACTTAGGCTCGTTTGAATGCTACATTGGGTCAAGAACATTTCCCAAACGTTTGAGAGATACTGTAGATATTGCAGGTTGCATACAGGAGAATGGCAATGCACATTATTCTGTCTTCATTATTGAATATATTTTCACAGTCTGCAAAACAACAGCTTCTTCCTTCATGCGTTTCAGCTCCCAAAAGAGCAACAAATTGTAATTTATATGCAATTAATTTCTAAACTAAATGTAATTAAAGCATGATTTAACTCACCTTAATAGTATTCAATTAATCACATTCAAGACTACTTCCTCCCCAAGAATAATGGCAATTTTACATGGAGCGGAGAAGATTACCACATATTTATAAAAGTCAGGCGTGGGCTTGTAATACACACTGACAGCGAGCCATGTGCCTGAACCCAGTGGTGTCTGCTTCTATACAATGCTACAAATGTACCATCTCCATAGCAAAGAGGCTATGAATAACTGCGATAATCACCGCACAATGGCTTCATTTATCAACATAGTATGAGCAGTGCAAACGGGGTGATTAGGCTGTCTCATTTTTTTCCCTCTCCACTGAGCGCTTTTCGTGGGTCAGACATGTCTCTGGAATGATGTCACAGGTGACTGTCCAGCTGTTGCTGCAGAATACAGTAATTGTCTTTTCCGTGGATTTGTTCTTTGATTATAACCTATTCATATAACGTTGCCATTTTTAACTGTCAGTAAGCAGTGATTAAGTAAGTAGCATTTTCATGGCTCAATATTTATTTTATCGTCCAATGTACTTGAACATGCTGTAGTCAAATAGGATATACCCTGCATTTCAAACTAAAATGAAGGTAAATAAAACTATAATCCCTAGATATCTATGGTGATATGTAAATATGTGAAGGAGGGATTGATCAATGTTTCAGTTTTCAATCAACCTGTTTCTTGTAAAAACACTGCATTATACTGTACATGATCCTGATTATAGTTAGTTTGGTTTCTCATGTTGTTCAAAAGGAAACTATGTATTTTTCATTGAAGAAAGATGGATGCACAGGAAAATGGAGTATGCAACACTTCCATCTAAAATCTGCAAGTGTTGTTATTTATATTTCTGAACTATCTAGCATAATGATCTTAAAGGTTTGGCCAAATAAGCAACAGCTTCAGCATTCACCTTTTCCATCTTTCTTTCTGCCTTAAATTTACTGCGGTGAAACAATGTATACAATTGTACAAGTGACCAAAAGAAACTTCATCTAACGGTGTAGTTAAGGAGGCATGCTGTGGTCAGGAAGTTAAATTGACCAATGAAAATCCCAAAACTAATTTAGGGGCAATGTTTTTGTTTTAAAAGACAAAATTGGTCACTCTACGGTCATCTATGGTTTCATCACGTACACTGATATGTTTCTTATATGTTTGGGGATACACAAACTTTATATTTCTGGGGAAAAAAAATGCAAATTGTATAATTCTTATGTCTCTTTTAAATTCAACTATTATGTTTGCTTGCATAGTGAAGTTATAACATGGGCGAGGCTATCTGCTACAATTAAAGCTTCCTTTTAATGAATCACTGTGTATTTTAAGCAAAAATTGTTACGCAAGAGCACTACATATGTCAACATTGTTCTCAGTCGGTCCTTTCTTTCCAACATCCAAACTATTCTCGGTGAGAGTTGTAAAAAAGGATGACACCCTTCCTGCAGGGAAAATTGACCATAACAAGCTGTTTTAAACTTCGGTGTTGATCCTTGATTTGATATGGGCTTGTTTAGATGACATTTACTGTGTTGTTTATTAGTTGCATATAGATTACTTCTTTGCACTGTGCAGAATGCCAATATGTAAACTGGTACAAACAGCTGATGGGAAGACTGATGAGCTATGGGAATCAGATCTCTTTGTTAGTGGGGGTTCCTTGCTGTCCTCTATGTGCAGGAGTCAAAGATGGATAGGTTGACACACAGAGACGGGGTGAGGCAGCAGAGGAGCGGAGGTTTGCTCGGCTGGGGATCTGAGCGGAAGGAGGTAGCATTGCCACTGACCACCACTGGGACTTTAGAAAGGTCATGCTGCAATGGAAACTGATTCTCAACCCTGGTTCCCTCGGTAATATCCTGTAACCAGCAGCTTTTAACCCATTTATGCTTCACTTCAAGTGTATTTTGTTCAACCATTTACTGTCTTCATGTCTGATTATATGCCTATGTTCAATCAATCAATCAAATCTTTATTTGTAGAGCACATTTAAAACAGTCTGGCTAACCAAAGTGCTGAACAGACAGCAGAAAAAAAACAAATACAAATACAGAAATATATACACACAAAAATAATATTTAAAAAACTTGTTTCTTTCTACCTGGTATTCAAAGCCAAAGAGAGCACTTGAGCACTTAACCAGGGATCTAAAGTGCTCAAGTGATTGTGCGGTTCTAATGTGCAAATGTAAAGAGTTCCACAACTGTGGCCCTATAACCGAAAAAGCTCTGTCTCTTATGTTAGTCCATCCATCCTGTTTCTTCCGCTTTATCCTCGTCGCTGGAACAGCAGTAAAAGCCAAAATGCCCTGACTATTTTTCATCTGATTATGCACATACAGTACCTTATATTTTTTCATTTATGGAATAATATCTGGATAGGGTATTATTAGCTTATAGCTGTCCCACCAATGGGCACAGGGCGCCCTTGATAATGCAGACTAAAATCCCCAGAAAAAAGTCCCATAGAACTCAATGTAAACTAAAACAGCGTGACCTACAGCTTTCATAAAAGTTGGAAAGATTGTGGAGATTTTAATGTCTCTTGTCATCCTGAACTTTTTTTCTTCTTAAATCCATTGGTTTTCTTCAAATCCACACTTTAGTGCAACAAACTCTTGTTCTCTCTCGCTCTGGCTCTGCTATTGCTCCGCTCTGATCAGCAGCTCTGATTGGTCAAAGCGAGGCCGAGCCCCATGAGAGCTACAAACGCCCATTTGGCGCAACGCATCATGGAAGCTCGTCCACTGCGCAGAACCGCGAGGACCAGAGTTACGCTAATCTTTCGGTCCCCATGGCTGTCTCATGCGCTTCTGAGCACAAACCATTGATAGGACGCCATCTTGGATTGCCAGGGGTTGTACGGGTGCTCCGGGTTCCCCTACCTCTAAAAACAAGGTTGGATCACAGTAGCACCGGCTCAGGACTAACCATCAATCTAATGCAGACATGGGCAAACGTTACTTCTCAAAATTAATTTTTTACATATTAATTTATACTAATAAATATCTTATATCACAGCTGAGCAAGGAATGTGACTGCCGTTCCAGAGCTCTTGCTCTATCGATATGAAATTGAGGTAGATAGAAACGTCTAAAGAGATGCATCTGGCCCATAGGTAAGGTTTTCGTACCACTGATCTACTGTATGTAATTTGTTTGTACTTCAATATATAACAACATGGCACCAGCCTAAAAGTGGGGTCCCTCAAATGTGCACATACAGCATGGTCTTGAGAGGAGCACCCCCTCTCCTGGTTTCACTCTGAGGTGCTGTGTTCTCAAAACTTCAGCCAAGTAGATATCCCAAAACAAACTGTGAAATATTACAATGATAACTTAAGATAACTATGGAACATAGTGTCGAAAGAGAAAACAGAAACTACCTTAAATCAAATATGGACCCTGAGAGCCCGGGGCCAAAAAGTGAAGAGAAGCGACAGAGGGTCAGCTCTGTGGAGCATGTGGATGTATGAGCACTGAGGGAGGGCAAGATTCATGCCAAAAACGTAAATTAGGTAGACTTTGAAGTGTGCTTCTCATTAATTGAGAAAATACCAAAACTCCTGCTGACAACTCTGCTTCTGACAATGGTTTAAAAGGAAACAAGCACAACAAAAGGATACATTATTGTGACAACACTATACAGTACAATTTATAGTAAATAGGTAAAACTAACCTCTCATGTGTCTATGACAATTAACTTTCAAGCGATTGTTTTGGTGGTATTACAGCACAGCGTCTTCCCCATACAGACCTTGAGGAACCTTGCTGTGAGGTCAGGTGAAAGTCTAGTGTAAATTGCACAACTTATTAAAGGCTTGTCCTGCTTTCAGCCCGTGCTCTGTATCGCGTCGGCAATAGAGGAACTGGTCAAGTGTACCTGAGGGAAGATTACTTTAAGATAGATTTAGGGGTCCAACCTGCAGTCACAAAGCGGTGTAAATAGCCTTTTTGTGTTGTGTTTAACAGTTCACATTTCATGGATGGCTTCAGAACCCAAGAAAACCGTTTGATAAATATCCCAATACATGGTATGTGACATATTAGAATGAATTAGCTATTCATTCAGCTATTTCTTGCTTGGTGTTGTCATGTTAATACAAGGTATAATGTTATTGTATTTTAAACCCTGATGAATCACATTTCTAAACGTACCCAACCAAACCTGTATGGGACAGTTGCTGCCAACAATGCAGAAAATGTGTTTCTGGTTGCTTACACTATTATATGGTTTTCAGAATCAAAGAGCACCGTGGGTTGCTGGTTTCTTGATAAAGATTTATACAAGCTTCATGTGAATATCTGTGAACCCAGCATATTTTCTTGTCTGGGGGCAATTTCATTATAAGCAAACGGTGGTTTAGAAATAGTGTAACTACAAAGTTCTTTGTTTGAAATCAAGGCCCTGTTAAAACTCATATTTCTAAAATCATCCCAGGAAAATATCTTCTTATCCTAATTTTGTGGTCATAATTCACAAGAGTCTTCCTTTCTGACATGCATATCAAATTGTCAAATTACAGGAACGCAAGCTGTCACTAGTTAGATTCATGGGGTTATAGGGCGTACTGAAGGTGGAGAATGGTTGATGTTCTGGTGGTCGGGGTTGGGCGACACAGAAAACATTAGCTCACTGCTCACACTGGCCTAACATTGTTGAGGTTGCCTGTTGATTGACACTCAGTGCAGCCCTAAACTGAAAAGGCTCTCAGAGCTGCTCCTATAGGTCCTGTCCTTACCACTTCCTCTTTTGTGCCCATTTCTCCCTTCATGTTGTTTTCCATCCTTTGCGCTCACAACCTTATTTGCATCTGAGGCCAAGAGGTTCCATACATATTGTCTCAAAGTGAAAGGGCTCTCCCTGATAAATTTACTTCCCTTATACATAAGCAAAGTTGTTGACATGGGCCTCTTGTGTGGTTTTCATGATTTTAGATTATCTTGTGTTGTAGTTTACCCCTGAAAATAATTAGTACTTTTCACAATGGTGCCACTGTGGCTGAGCAGTTTACTCTCATGCATTGCAGCAAGAAGTTGGCAGGTTTGTTCCCTGGGTTTGACCAGACCTTTAAGTGAGGTTTACCACCATCACACAAAACATGCGCCATAGAATAAATGTAGGGAGTGAGAGAATGGTTGGATCCTGCCGGTCATCCTCAGGGAGAGCAGCTTACAGTTTTTTGGTACAATATAGCTTGTTCCTACCACCTGGGGATGCATAGTGGTGCAGCAGATACAGTTTGTGCTTCCTGGGTTTGATGCCACCTCTGTGTGGACTTTGTATACTTTCCCTGTGTCTGCAGAGGTTTCCTCCAGGTGCTCGTAGACTCGCCCTAACCCAGTGCTCGTAGATTCCCCCTAACCCAGGGGAAACCCCCTACCACTAAGAAAGTCTTGGTATGAATGTACAATAATTGAGTGGGTGAATGGATGGTGTTGGTCGGAGGCTTTAATGCGCCAGTGTGTTCGGCGCCTTGCTTCCGTCCTCCCCTTGATCTGTGAAATGCGTTATATATAAATAATGAATACTTACCTGGGTGAATACATACTACATAATACACAAAATTGTACAGCAACAATGTGTTAATCTTCTGTGAGATTTCATAACACTTTGAAGCAACTTTTGTTAAACTTAAACTCATCATTCTATCAATGTGCAGAAGCCTGTACTTTTGCATTCTGTTGTATCTGTGTTCGTGTTCGTGCTGTCTCTACCATCGACAATAAAACATGTCTTCTGTCTGAATTTAAGACGCGATCCCAGACTTTGTCATCTTCTTCACTTCTATATAGTTCAATCCAATTTTTTTTGTATAGCCCCAAATAACAACAGCGTCTTGGAGGGCTTTACTAAGTTGTTGATTCACCAGCAACAGAATCACAATATCAAATAGTTTTAAAACATAAAATGCAAATATGACCAATATCCATAAATGTTAATAATAATTAAATGTCCTTAAATATTGTGGGTAGTCACAGTGAGAAACTTCAGGGAGGCCCACATGAGAGAAGGATCTGCTCCTACGGACGGACAGGGTATAGATCCAGGACTCAGGCTGTAGAACGAGGTCTGAGGACTTCAGGACTGAAGATGCTACCGGATGGGGAGGGGGGATGCAGCCCGCAAGCGTGGCCCGAGAGAGACCAGTCCACAGGTCTTGTATATAGATAGATTGATACTTTATTGATCCCCGTAGGAGAATTTCAGGTGTCCATATACAGAATATGGTATACAGTATAAGGATTACTCTATTTTTTATTATTTCTTTGCACCATAATATCAATATCAGGGTGTGAAAAAATGCTGAATGTTTTCCACACTCATTCCCCATTGCATTCTTCTTTATGACCATCGACCAATTAGGCCAAAAAGTGTGTCTGACTCTACACTGTCTGCTTTTGTAAAAAAAAAAAAAAAAAAAAACTTATAAAACTGTTAGAGCTGGGACACCTGTATGCTCTCCCCTGCAGTTAAATGTCCTTTAATGCTTTTAAGTGGTTTGAACATAATCTTAGTCTGATTAATTATACCCCTTGCTGGTTGCCCCCTCCCTTGGCTAATGACTGGTGTTTATGCTGGGGGTACCATGGTGGTTTTAAGGGGTGGGCTGCTGATATCATGGCTCAGTCCTTGCATAATGGGGAGCTGTTTTAATTAATGTGGAGACGACACCTCTCTCCCTTCTCATCTTTCACCTGGAGACACAGGAGAACTCTTGACATCAGCCCAGCAGGCCACTGATTAAACTGGGGCCTAATTTACTGTCACCTGCTGTCAACAAAACACCACTGAACATTGCCAATACATCTTCAGGTACAAACCAAGACACACAGATGATCTTAAATTCTGTTCTTCCATAAAGTATGGATCAGGATTGGGTAGTACATTATTTGTTGATTAGTAATGCCCTTTAGAGTTAATAATTTATCATTAAAATAAATAAAAAATACACAAAAACATGGGCTCAATTCATGTTGCGTCCCAGAGAATGTCATAGATAACTCATACAATAATTAGTTCTCTCAGGGCTTCACACTGTGACTTATTTCCCATTGCGTCCGAAATACTACCTTGCCATCAATTTTGTCAAATGGCACGGGGAAGTTTTACTGATCAGGTTTTATGATGCATGAGGTGTGTGGTGGCGATAGATTGGGAACAAAAAAGTGAACAAAAAGGACAAATTTTCCAGTTTGTGTACTGTATGGACATTTTTTTGGTCAACCCGAATGTTACGAGGTGTCACTTTTGAAGGAAACTCAGGTCCCAGGTTTTTTGGTGCCTACATAGAGCAGTTACTCACTGACCCTTTACCCTCAGAGAACAAGTAATTGTCCTTTCATCAGCAGATGAAGCTTGGCATGGCCCTGTATTGTAAGAGTGAGGTCACACATGTCCGTCTCTCTTTGTCCATCACTTCCTCTATATTTAGATGCAAGTCATCGCTGAAATAGCTCGGCCAGTGCCTTTCATGTCTTGGCAGAACAAAGCTGCAGTGTCCTGACACACTTAGAGCACACTCAAGGGTGGAATCCTTAACATGATCCTTATGTCAACCACTCCATTAACACCTCCACACTCATGGACTGTGTGTGCTATAAGTCCAATCGCACAACAAACCCATTTCATACTCTCAAGCAAGAACCAACAACATACTAATGATGACATTTTGCACTATTTTGTATTTCTATTTGCAGGGTGGCCATGTTAGCCAGCCACTCCTGGGTAGATAAAGGTTGGTGTACAATCTGCATCAAATTATTTTCCCATACAAGCCAACCGGTTTCCTGTAACAATATAAGTAAAAAGTATCCAGAACATGTTAGGTAAAAGGTCGTACTATTTCCCCCTCAACATTTTTTGGCTGGTCCCCTGTAAAGTGACAACACTTATTAGAGCAGACTTATAAAGTTTTATAGAAACTTGCATCTGACCTCAAATTGGAATTCTATGTTGGAATGAGTCTCTTATTAAAGCTTCAGACTGTAGTTAATTTTACACATTCAATAAAAAGCAGTGGGTGTTATACACTTTCACTGTACGTCCTGTTACGTGCTATATCCACTGAGAACTACCTAATTTTATTACTATACTTTTATTTTGTAACTGGTAAAGGATAATATAGTCACAGAAGTGCTTTCAATACTATGTTTTCAACGTTTATTTTGTTTAAGTGTTGACTAGAAGTGCCTATGCTTATTGCCATTGTTACACTAAGAAGCACGTCTCAGTACTAAAGGAAGTGCACAATTCCTCTTGATTACTGCCCTGGGGAGACCATGGAACCACTACAAAGATGATGCCCAAACACTGTTTTTAAACTTGGCGACTATTTTGTGAGTTAAAACAATGTCACTGATGTAAAGGAAACAAGACTTGAATGGCACTGTTTACAGTTGTTGAATGTTCACACATTCATAGCAACTTCCAACATAAACATCCACTAAGTTTGTGTAAATCTCAGGGCTATTAATAAACGTTTTTATCTGCCCTCCTGAAGATTGACCCCAAACAGCTCCAAACAAATATGCACTTTTGCTAATTCTTGTATAGAACTAGATTTTTGGGGGCAAAAATGTAAAATGTTTGGTTTCTTTTGAGATCAAGTGCCCCTTATACTTCAGGTGTTGTGTGAAGGAGAGGTTCTCAAGATGTGCACGACTTTTGATTATTAAACACAAATCCTGCACTTTAAGTCACAGTATGTGCTATATTGTAACAACAAATATTTTCTGCTATTTGTCTTGTTATTGTTGATGGGACATTGTGTTTCTTTGTACTCTTCCTGCATTGTGTGTGCATATGTGTGCTAGTAGAGAATGCTTTTATACTAGTTCCAAGTGAGAGAATGGCTCTGCTAGTAAAGGACAGTCTCTATTGCTATACAGAGAGCTTCCAACTCAATCCGAGGAGCCAATTTACCGTTTCTGATGTGGGATAGTTGTTATTATCAGGAATCTACGACTGAGAACAGTTTATACCTTTGGGAGTTAGCAAGTGATGTCTTTCCATTCTACAGAATAATATACAACATCCTATACATGCCCACAATGTGCTCAATTATATATTCTTAATAGTGTTTTAATGTTATTGCTAAACTTATTATGATCAGTGCCATAGTGTTCTTTATCCCTCTGTTTGCTGGTTTGAAATCACAAACCATATGGTGGCATAGTTTGTAATATACACCAGACAGACTTTTTTTTCATCACACACATTTAAACTTGGATTAAAAATGATATTTACATTTCGGGCCAAGCTGTCGGACGTGCTTTATCTATATTGGTATGTTGCCGCGGAACAAAGAAGCTCAACTGGGACCATCCATCACAAGGTTCCATCACGGAAATGTCCAATCAATTTTCACCTTGGAATTGGCTATTTTGACATTAAATCTGGCCTACACCATGGAAAACACAAATTTAACTAATACCATTTTTTTTTTTTTTTTTTTTTTTTACCAAATAATATTTTTATTACATTCTAGGTTGTAGGTTGTCAGTTGAGATTGTGTACATTTTTTTGACAGTAGTTGAACCTTGAGTAAAAAAAAAAAAACCTCTCTCCAAAAAAAAAAGAAATTCTTCATTGTGAGATGAATAAAGTTTATCTTATCTTATCTCGATTTATCCAAAGACACTTAATTACTCGATGAAGGGGATATAGTTTCGCCCAGGTTAAGATATAATTTGAATATCATTTAAATTCAGTTGATTTTTGCATGTTTTCTCAATGATGATCCGAGCCACTATAGGTAACAATGTCATCCCTCTCCTCAGTGTA